ATGCTGATGCTGACGATGATGATGATGATGATGATGATGATGATGATGATGATGATGATGGTGATGGTGAAGGTGATGGTGATGATGGTGATGATGATGATGATGATGATGATGCTGATGATGATGATGATGATGATGATGATGATGATGATAATGAAAATGATGATGATGATGATGATGATGATGATGATGATGATGATGATGATGATGATGATGATGATGATGATGATGATGATGATGATGATTGATGATGATGACGATGGTGGTGCTGATGCTGCTGATGATGATTATGAGTATGATGCTGATGCTGATGATGCTGATGATGATGATGCTGATGCTGATGCTGATGCTGATGCTGATGCTGATGCTGCTGCTGCTGCTGCTGCTGCTGCTGCTGATGATGATGATGATGATGATGATGATGATGATGATGATGATGATGATGATGATGATGATGATGATGATGATGATGATGATGATGATGAGAAGCACCTCACGCCACATGGTGTTAAATATCACCCTTGCACCCTCCCAAGACGGCCCCCCCCAGATCTGTGGCCCGGGGGGCCCCGGGGACGCCCCTGAAGGAGGCCCCCCTGGCTTTCCAGAGCTTCTGGAAGCCCCTGCCAGGCCTAGGCAATGGGCCCAACTCGGTCAGGAGGGCGGCCGACCGGCCCCCTGAGGGCCCCAAGAGGCCCGAGACATCCACCGGACGCCTGATGACGACCCAAAGAAGATTTCCAAGAGGCTTTCAAAACGCAGAAACAATGTCTATTTTTCTAAGGTTTTTGTATGATTTTGGGAATGCCCTGCTCTTCGGTCTTCTGGGCGTCCGAGACCGCCCAGGAGGCCGGAATCGCCCCCAAGCTATCCGAAAGGGTTTCCAGACAGTCCAACAGAGCCCCAAGACGGCACAACAGGTTTCTAACATGGCCCGAAGAGAGCCCCATAACGGCCCAAAATGGCCCCTAAGACGCCCCTCGACGCGTTCCAAATCGTAACCTGGTCGTTCAGGGAGACCGCGGTTGGAAGCAGGGTGGCTCGAGGAAACCCCAGAGGCCCCCACAAGGCGCTCATGAGGCCTCCAGACGGCCCCAAGGAGCCTTTTGAAATTGTCGTGAGGCCCTCAACACGCTCTCCAAGGAAGAGCCTCCGCAAAAAGAATTGAGGAGGATGGGGAATAAATCGCAGGATAGGGCGAACATGAGGAAGAGGAAGATGGAACATGAGGGACGGATAATGAACAACATTATCATAACGGCAATGTCGGACAAATAACGACAAGGAGTTATCGCTACACTGTTTGCTTCACCTTCCTGCCCTTCTGCCTGCATGCCAAACTTCAAGGACCAAGGCGCATGGCGCGAAGATCCAATGCAATCTTGAGCGTCTATATATATACATCTATGAATATGTATGTATGTATGTAGTTGTGTAAGTATGTGTGTATGTCTGCCTTTCCTAGTTATGTATAGATGTATGTATGCATGTATGCATGCATGTATGTATGTATTGTATGGTGCTGTACTGCAATAAAAAGCAATGTAATGTGATGTAATGCGCTGTACTGTGGCTGTAGCGTAATGGAATGTAGTCGAATGTGTTGCAGCGTGTTGTATGGTAATGGAATGGATTGTAGTGTTTTGTAGTGTAATATAGTGTAGTCTAGCCTAGTGTAATGTAACATAATGAAATATAATTTCTTGCATTGTAATATGCAATAATGCTATATACTAGTCTATAATGTAATGCTATTCGATGTAATGTAATGGAGTATCATGTGCTGTCATGCAATGTATTGTAATGTAATGTAATATAATGCATTGTAATATCTTGCGTGCTTGCGTGCATGCATGCATGCATATATACATATAGCGGCGCACCTGGCTCGGGGGCCGAAGGCCAGAGCCTTGACCACAAATGCGGGAACCGGGGCCCCAATCGCCGCAGGGAGCCCTCAGACAGCAATCCCGGCGGCCCCAGACGGTCTCGAGACACCCCCAAGACGCCGTCCAGGGGTCTCTCTGGCGACGCACGATGCGTTTTAAACCGGCCTGGAGGCCCCTAAGACGCCCCAAGAGGCCTTCAAGATGATGTCGTCCAAGAGCGTCCCGAGAGGGCAGTATCGTTGATTTTCATTTTTTTCAAATGTTTTTTACATTCTCGCTGTTTCGTGTTTCCGGCGCTAAAGCACCGCCCAAGAGGCTCCCAAAACCGCTACAAGACGGCCCAAGAGGTCCCCAAGATGGCCCCAAGCAGCCCAAGAGAGCCCCGAGACGGCCCCAGAGCCGCCCAAGACGGCGCAAGAGGGTCTCAAGAAGGCCCCAAGGTGGGCCCAAGAGAGGGAACGCGAACTGAAAAATCAAGCTCTCCGCCCCAAGATGCCCCAAAGAGGCCCCAAGATGCCCCCAGGTTGCCCCCAAGAGGCCCCAAGAGGCCCCAAAAGGCCCCAAGAGGCCCCAAAGAAGCCCAAAAAGAGGCTCCAAGAGGCCCGAAGACGGCACCCAAAAGGCTTCAAAACTCTTTCTAAGAGGCCCCCGAAGATATGCCAAGGAGCAGTCCAGGATGCTCCGAGGAGGCCCCAAGAAGCTGAACTGTGGAGCTCGCGCGAAGCGCGCGCGATGGTTCCAGTATGTATGTATGCATGCATGCGTGCATGCATGCGTGCATGTACGTATATGTATGTGTATACGTACATGTATATGCATATGCATGTATAGATATGTATATATAAATGTATATATGTGTGTATATGAATATGAATATGAGTCGGTATATATACATAATCATGTACATGTTTATTTATACATATACATGTAGTTCTATATATACGTTTATGTGCATGCATCTGTTTATATACATGCATATTCATACGCACATTCTTACACACATATATATATATATGCATGTGCGTGTAATTGTACATGTATGCGAATATGTATATGTGTGTATGTATGTATATATATGTATACATTTATAAATGTATTTGCATGTGTATATGTATATGTATATGTATGTGTACATGCAAATGTTTATGGTTATGTACATCCATAGGTATATGTATATGTGTGTATGTGTATACGTATATGTATCTGCACAGTTATATGTATCTGCTTGTGTTTCGGAATATGTGTATGTATATGTATGTGGACATGTACATGTGCATGTTTATGTATATGTATAGGTATATTTGCAGTTATGTATGGGTACAGGTATATGTACATGTATTTGCATACATGCATGTATATGTACACGTATATGCATATGCATATATGGATATGTTTAGGTGGTTGTGCATGCAACTGTTTATGCACACGTGTATATATATATGTGTGTGTGTATGTGCACATATAGTATGTATGTATATATATATGCGTCTGTATATATATATATATATGTAGACGGTTATGTTTATGTTTATGTATACGTGGATGCAACGGTTTATTGTTATGTGCATAGGTATATGTATATGTATATGCATGTGTATACGTGCATGTATCCGTATACGCACATGTATATGTATGTGTACATGTATGCGTATAGGTACACGTCTATGCACATGTATATGTATATGCATTTGCATATGTATATGTATACGTGCAGGTATTTGCATTTGTATTTGTATGTGTATTCGTGTTTGTATTTTATTCGTACAGGTATATGCCTATGTATATGTACATGTATATATACACATCATCTGAATGAATAGCCCCCCCCCGGCCTGGGCCGGCCCACCCCGCAACCATCGGGGGAAGCCCGCTGATACCCCCCCCATTTCGCTCCCCAGAGGCGGCCCGGAGAGGCCAAGAGGGTGCCAAAACGAGCCAAGAGGGTTCCAAGAGGCCCCCAAGACGGTGCAAGAAGGTCCCGAGCTGCCCAATACGGCCCAGTAGGATTCCCAGAGCACTCCCAAGAGGGACCCAAAAGGCCCAAACAATTAGATTCCCATGGGGAAGCGTACGTTGTTAGCATGTACGACATTTCAGCTTTCGCGGCTCTCAAGACAGTCCAAGAGGCTCCCAAGACTTCCCCAAGACAGCCCAAGACGTTCCCAAGAGGCCCCCGAGCCAGCCCAAGAGGACGCCAAGACGGCTCAAGGGCCGCCTAAGACGGCCAAGTTGGCCCCAAGACGGCGCCCAAGACGGCCCAAGAAGGCCCCGAGTCGCCCAAGACGGCCCAAGATGGCCCCAAGACGGTCCAATAAGGCTCCGAGGTGTTCCCGGAGGCCTCCAATAGCAATCCCAGGAGGGCCTCCAGAAGCCACAATCGTTGAATTCCTACGGGAAAACGTACTTTGTTTCTATGTGCCGCTTTTCGGCCTTCACGGCTTTGAAGACGGCCCAAGAGGCTCCCAAGACTTGCCCAAGAGAGCCTAAGACATTCCCAAGAGGCCCCCGAGCCAGCCCAAGAGGGCGCCAAGACGGCTCAAGAGAGGGTCAAGACGGGCCAAGGGCCTCCCAAGACTGCCCAAGTTAGCCCCAAAACGGGCCCCAAGAAGGCTCGCATACATACATATGTATGTATGTATGCATGTATGCATGTATGTATGTATGTACGTACGTACGTATGTACGTATGTACGTATGTACGTATGTACGTATGTACGTATGTACGTATGTACGTATGTGCGTATGTACGTATGTACGTATGTACGTATGTATATATGAATCTGTATGTGTATGCCTGTGTTCTTTCTGCAGGGGTCCCGAGTTAAACATAGAAAAATCACAAAACCAACATATGGGGTGAGCATCAGGCAACAACTTTTGACAATCATGGCATTTGCATTCGACACTTGGACATCAATTCTGATGTGAGTTCTATGGGCGCGGCTAGAACCTAAGCGCGCGCGCGAAGCGCGCGCGTGGTTTTAGTATTCATGTATGTGTGTGCGTGTGTAAAACACGTTTTCCAATTCTGCTTTGGTCTTCGGGCCGCCCCGTTGCCGCCACGGCTGGGAAGCGTCCAGGATTGACCTCCGGGCGGGGCCCCGCCCGAGAGGCCTGCGCTCGTCGGTGCGCCGCCTGGCCGCCCTGCCTCCGCTGCGCCGCGCGCGCCTGCGGGTGCTGCTGCTCGGCGACGCGCGGGCGCCTCGGGGCGGCGGCGGGTCGCGCGGGCCACCGCGGCGGCGGGCCGGCAGAGCTCGCGAGAGGTTCGGGCCGCCTCGGCGAGGCGACGGCGCCGTCCCGAGGCAGCGAGTGTCTGGCGCTCTCTGGGCGTCGGGGGGGCCCTTCGCGGCTCGAAGGGCTGGTCAGGATGCTGCGGCCAGCCCGGGGGGAAAGTGTCGGGAAAACGTAAGACTCGGGCAAGCCGGAGCTCGAGTTAGCCGACGTTTTTTGACGAGCGTGTCCCGGATTTTGACGGTCCGATTTTCGTGGGATGTTTGCAGCGGGAGCTCGCGTCAAATTTGAGATTGGGCCTCGCCATTTGTTTGATGCCCCATCATGCCAGCCCGAGTCCCCCGTACGCGAGTCTTACTACGTCTCCCCGAAAGTGAGAAGGGGGCGGGCCTGCTCCGAAGGCTCGGAAGTTCTCCGGCCTTTGGAGAAGCTCTCTCGTCCTGCCCCGAAGACAGAGAACACTTTCTGCAGAAGGCTGGATGGCTGCTGAGAAGCTCCGCCGCATTCTGAGAAGGCCTCCTCCTCCTCCTCCTCCTCCCTTCCCCCTCCCCGTCGCTTGCCGCCGAAGGACGGCGTCCAGGAGGGGTTGCCCTCGGCAGGTTCGCGCTGCCTCGGCGCGGCGGCGGCGGCGCGGGCGTTTCAGGGCCGAGCGCACTTTGGCGTCCCGTTTCGGGCCCCAGGGCCCACAGCAAACGGCCCACGGCGCGGAAGCCGTAGGGAAGGATTTTTTTGTTTTTATGTTTTTTTGTTTTTCATTTTCGGCGATGGCCCGGGTTTCCCGTGCGGGAGGAGGAGGGATGTGCTGGCCGACAGTCTAAATTCACCTTCTCGCTTGGGGCAGCGCCACGTATGCCTTCGCCCACCAGCACTGCGTACCCCATCTGGACCTGTGCAACCGACAAGGTCAAGGTGTCCAGGGGGCATGGTGGAGGGGCGAGCGGGCCCGACAACCCGGGGCATCGCCGGACTCGTAGACAGGCTCTGGAGACTTCTGGGGAACGAGATCGCTCCAGAACGCCACGCGAGGTATCAGAAGCCAGGGCCCACGTCGGTAAGGCAGGGGCTTGCAGTATCTTGGTCGTTTCTGGGGAGGGCCTCGGCTTGGAGTAATTCGGAGGGTTCGCATCTGTCGCCCCTCGGCAAGGGCCGTCGAGAAAGGAAAACGACGGGGGCCCCGCTGGAGGAAGCCGGCGGAGGTAAGCACAAGGTTCTTACGAGCGATCGACGCTGTCTTGCCCAGGGCTTCAGATGAGGTCTCATGTGTGTATGTCTGATCCTTTTTCTTACGGGAAATGATGTACGCCTGCGCGCGTCATGCAATGTGGCTTCGGTCGTATTTCCATGCGCGCACGCGAACGACTACGCCTACACATTCCATAATCTGCCTCTTCGCATACGTATACATATTTTTATGGTATCACCGCTTCACCGCGTGTTATAAGAGTTGACGCCCTCCCTTGCGTCTCAATGCGTGGAACGCACTTTCAAAGTTTGCAGGGCGCTATAATCGATTCATTCAAGAGCCCTGCGATTGATGAGGTGGTCAAACAGTTGTCCACTTCAGACAAAGGGTCTAAGCCTGCAGAAGGACCAAAAGACTTCTCCTGGACCAGGCACGTGCAAAGGCGAATCTGCTCAGGCCGTGTTGTACCCATTCTACGGGCAGTGCGCTAGCGCTTCCACGCCAGCGTGACACGAGGGGGAATATGTGTCTTCGTTCGGCTCTGGCGAGCCCTCGACCTCAGCAAGAGGCAGCCGCTGTTGCGGCTCCGGCGAAGCCTCAGCTCGATCAGTACCGAAGCATGGGATCACCTCAGGACTCGATGCCATGGCTTCTCTCGTCGCCCTTTGTCTTAGGCGGTCACGAGGCCAGCCTCTTCGCAGTCAAGTTCCAGCACGGCCAAGTGAGCTCGGGTCTCGGAGAATCGCCCTCATCCGTGCCCTCCCCCTTCTCGATACAAACGCAGAATCCCAGTACAGGAGGTCGAACTTGTGTGCATCGCGCGATGCAAGCTCTGCGAAGGCCACCGAGTTGCTGAGCAAGCAGTCGCCAGGCACCACAGGAGTTGCTGGTGATTGGAGCTGGTGCCGCAGTTGGATCCCGGAGGGAGCCAGCCCACGGAGGACAAGCACTCGCGCGCGGATCACACTGCGGCCTCGAGCCTTCACCTTTGGGGGGATCTCCTCAACGCAGATGGAGCTCCCCGCGTCGCGCTTGATTTCGGACCCGGTGGCTCCACGCACCTTCTGGGAGAGCGCAGGCACCCCGTCAGCACTTGGGATGCATGTTACCTGGCCCCCCCCCCCTTTCCCCTGTACTCACACGAGATATTCCCTTCTGTGAGGGGCCCTCAACGCCCAGAGCCGCGCCCGCCAGAGTCTTGTTTGCCGCCTCACTGGAGCGAGGCAGTGCTTTACCATAGGTGTCCCCAGCCGAGCTGGGTAAGGATGGCAACGCGCCCCAGGAGCGTTCACGCTCCCCGCCGAGACTTTCGCCAGGGCGTACCTTACTGCAGGTGGGGGACACAGGTTACGACCACCCCCCCCCCCCCCGAGCCTCGCTCAGCCCCTGGTGCCAGGAGCCTTTGCCACCAGCAGCCGCACAGGAGTCCCATGGGTATGGAGCGTTCGCTTCGTCTTGATCGCGGCAATTGTTGCGCTCACGTAGCTGGGGGCACCACGCCACCGCCACCACGGCAGGAGCGGGAGAAGCATCAGCAGGAGGAGCAGGACAGGGACGAAGAGAAGGAGCAGGAGAAACAGGATGAGACGGGGAATGGGGGCGCCGTCACGCTCTCGGAGGGAACATGACGGGAGGGGACTGCGATTGCGACGGCGGTGGCGGCGACGGCGTCGGCGACGACGAGCCATTCGCGGCTGCAGCGGTGCTCCCTGGCCGCTTTGGCCTCCGAGGCAGCGCGAGTTCGGGCGAGAGCGGGATCTCGGGCTGCGGCGCATTCGCTCCGGCGCGAACGAGGCCCGGAGGGTGGGGAGTGAGGCGGGGAGGGAAGATGGGGAGGAGGTGGGGGAGGGAGCGAGGCAGGAAGGGAGGTGAGGAGGGCAGGCAGGCAGGCTCAGGGAGGGAGGGAGGTAGGGAGGTGTGCAAATAGGGTGGCAGGGAGGCAGGGAGGTTAGGGAAGTAGGGATGAGGAGGAGAAGCAAGAGGTCCAGAGTGAAACCAAGAGGCGCCAGCGATGCTGCACAAAGCACCCTCCCGTCCCAAGTCCTCTCCCCAGAGGTGCCTGCACGCACTGTTTTTCAATGCGCGGCTGAAGCGCCCCCTTTGCAAGACCAGCACCTGATACAGGCCTGCCATTCATCACCCTGCGCGTTCCACTACTCGCAACGGGCCTACTCGCAAACGTCAGAAACATTATCCTAGAGCGACCCTACCTAGGAGTTGGAGCCCCGAGGAGAGCAATATTAGTAGTACCGGTAAACGCCGTCCTCCTCCTTCTGCTCATCGTCGCAGTTCAACACTGCTCGCGGCTCCTGCAAGAGCTGCAGGCTGTTCAGCACTGCTTGCGGGGGCTCCGGTCCGGCCATCGAGGCTAGCTCGGCACCTGGCGCAGATTGCTTGTGCTTTGCCTTTCCTTTGCTTTGCTTTTGCTTTGCTTTGCTTTGCGCTGCTTGTGCTTTGCTGTTGCTGTTGCTGCGGTTGCTGTGCCTTTGCTCTGATGCTATGCTATGCTATGCTATGCTATGCTAAGTATGCTGCGCTACGCCATACTATGCTATGCTATGTTATGCTATGATGCGCTATGCTGCGCTATGCTGCGCTATGCTGCGCTATGCTGCGCTATGCTATGCTATGTCATGCTAGGGTAAGCTAGGCTGCGCTGTGTTATGCTATGCTATGCTATGCTGTGCTGCGCTATGCTCTGCTATGCTGCGCTATGCTATGCTATGATATGCTATGTTGCGCTATGCTATGCTATGATAGGCTATGCTATGACATGGTATGCTGCGCTATGCTAGGCTATGCTATGCTATGCTGCGCTGTGCTATTCTAAATTAAGCTATGCTATGCTATGCTATGTTGCGCTATGCTATGCTATGCCATGCAATGCTATGCTATGCTGCGCTATGCTAGGCTGCGCTATGCTATGTTATGATATGTTATGCTATGATATGCTATGCTATGCTACTGCTGCGCTAAGCTAAGCTGAGCTAAACTAAGCTGAGCTAAGCTAAGCTAGGCTAGGCTGAGCTAAACTAAGCAAAGCTAAGCTAGGCTAGGCTAGGCTAGGCTAGGCTAAGCTAAACTAAGCTAGGCTAAGCTAAGTTAAGCTAGGCTAAGCTAAGATGAGATAAGCAACGCTAAGCTAAGGGGACGTAGCTGGGGGAACCGCGGGGCGGATGCCGGGGGAACAGGCTTCTTTTTTTAGGAGGACGGCGGGAGCCCTACCAGACAGCGCCTGGTGTCCAACCACGCCCCAACAACGCCTGGAGGGCACGGTGGCGGATCGCCAGCATGGCACAGTCTTGTACGATCACAGAGCGTGCGCGAGGAGCTGGCGCCCGAGTTGTCAGGAGCCAGCCCCTGGCCCGCTGCCACTGACGCGCAGGTCACGGGGACGTTTCGTCTCGCTCACTGGGATACGGAACGCATGACGCATCGGGAACTCTTTTCCCCCCCCCTCTCTCTCTCTCTCTCCTTTTTTTGTTTCTCTCTCTCTCTCTCTCTCTTTCTTTCTTTCTTTCTTTCTCTCTCTCTCTCTCTCTCTCTTTTCTCTCTCTCTCTCTCTCACACGGCCAGGAACTTTTGGTTAGCGCGTCGCTCCGCTGGTTCTGGTCCACTACGTTTCGGCGCGACACGCCATCCACTTCCCAGTCCCCAGGCGTCAACGTGCCGAGATATTCAGAGCATCCCGCCACGTGGAGCGGAGCGACCCGCTATCCGCTTGCAAGGCATAGCGTGTCGCTGAGGCCGCCACCGTGAGACGCCGTGCAAAGGTTCTGAGCGTATCCTTCCTTTTCTCTCTCTCTCTCTCTCTATCTCTCGTCTCTCTTCTCTTTTCTGCTCTCCGCTCCGCTCTCCTCTCCTCTCCTCTCCTCTCCTCTCCTCTCCTCTCCTCTCCTCTCCTCTCCTCTCCGCGCTCCGCGCTCCGCGCTCCGCGCTCCGCTACTCTCCTCTCTTCGCCTCGCCTCGCCTCGCCTCGCCTCTCCTCTCCTCTCCTCGCCTCGCCTCGCCTCGCCTCGCCTCGCCTCGCCTCGCCTCGCATATCCTCTCCTCTCCTCTCCTCTCCTCTCCTCTCCTCTCCTCTCCTCTCCTCTCCTCTCCTCTCCTCTCCTCTCTCCTCTCCTCTCCTCTCCTCCTCTCCTCTCCTCGCCTCTCCTCTCCTCTCTCCTCTCCTCGCCTCTCCTCTCCTCTCCTCTCCTCTCCTCTCCTCTCCTCTCCTCTCTTCTCGCCTTGCCTCGCCTCGCCTTGCCTCTCCTCTCCTCGCCTCTCCTCGCCTCTCCCCTCTCCTCTCCTCGCCTCGCCCCGCCCCGCCTCGCCTCGCCTCTCCGTTCCTCTCCCCAGGGACGGCGAGGTCCCGCTCAGGTCCGCGCGGTGTCTTACTCCGCAGGGCCCGCCAGCAGCCCTCGAAAGCGGCGACAGTCTCGCAGATCGCAGCCCCCCAGGGACGGCGAGGTCCCGCTCAGGTCCGCGCGGTGCCTCACTCCGCAGGACCCACCAGCAGCCCCCGAAAGTGGCGACCGTTTCGCAGATCGCAGCCCCCCAGGGACGGCGAGGTCCCGCTCAGGTCCGCGCGGTGCCTCACTCCGCAGGACCCACCAGCAGCCCTCGAAAGTGGCGACAGTTTCGCAGATCGCAGCCCCCCAGGGACGGCGAGGTCCCGCTCAGGTCCGCGCGGTGCCTCACTCCGCAGGACCCACCAGCAGCCCCCGAAAGTGGCGACCGTTTCGCAGATCGCAGCCCCCCAGGGACGGCGAGGTCCCGCTCAGGTCCGCGCGGTGCCTCCCCCGAAAGTGGCGACCGTTTCGCAGATCGCAGCCCCCCAGGGACGGCGAGGTCCCGCTCAGGTCCGCGCGGTGCCTCACTCCGCAGGACCCACCAGCAGCCCTCGAAAGTGGCGACGTTTCGCAGATCGCAGCCCCCCAGGGACGGCGAGGTCCCGCTCAGGTCCGCGCGGTGCCTCACTCCGCAGGACCCACCAGCAGCCCTCGAAAGTGGCGGCAGCTTCGCAGATCGCAGCCCCCCAGGGACGGCGAGGTCCCGCTCAGGTCAGCGCGGTGCCTCACTCCGCGGGACCCACCAGCAGCCCCCGAAAGTGGCGACCGTTTCGCAGATCGCAGCCCCCCAGGGACGGCGAGGTCCCGCTCAGGTCCGCGCGGTGCCTCACTCCACAGGACCCGCCAGCAGCCCCCGAACGTGGCGACCGTTTCGCAGATCGCAGCCCCCCAGGGACGGCGAGGTCCCGCTCAGGTCCGCGCGGTGCCTCACTCCGCAGGACCCACCAGCAGCCCCCGAAAGTGGCGACCGTTTCGCAGATCGCAGCCCCCAGGGACGGCGAGGTCCCGCTCAGGTCCGCGCGGTGCCTCACCCCGCAGGACCCACCAGCAGCACCCGAAAGTGGCAGCAATTTCGCAGATCGCAGCCCCCCAGGGACGGCGAGGTCCCGCTCAGGTCCGCGCGGTGCCTCACTCCGCAGGACCCACCAGCAACCATCGAAACTGGCGACAGTATCGCAGATCGCAGCCGCCCAGGGACGGCGAGGTCCCGCTCATGTCCGCGCGGTGCTTCACTCCGCAGGACCCACCAGCAGCCATCGAAACTAGCGATCGTCTCGCAGATCGCAGCCCTCCAGGGACGGCGAGGTCCCGCTCAGGTCCGCGCGGTGCCTCACTCCGCAGGACCCACCAGCAACCACCGAAACTGGCGACAGTCTCGCAGATCGCAGCCCCCCAGGGACGGCGAGGTCCCGCTCAGGTCCGCGCGGTGCCTCACTCCGCAGGACCCACCAGCAACCACCGAAATTGGCGACAGTCTCGCAGACCGCAGCCCCCCAGGGATGGCGAGGTCCCGCTCAGGTCCGCGCGGTGCATCGCTCAGCAGGACCCACCAGCAGCCCTCGAAAGTGGCGACAGCTTCGCAGATCGCAGCCCCCCAGGGACGACGAGGTCCCGCTCAGGTCCGCGCGGTGCCTCGCTCTGCAGGACCCACCAGCAGCCCCCGAACGTGGCAGCAATTTCGCAGATCGCAGCCCCCCCAGGGACGGCGAGGTCCCGCTCAGGCCCGCGATATGCTTCACTCAGCAGGACCCACCAGCAGCCCTCGAAGGTGGCGACAGTTTCGCAGATCGCAGCCCCCGAGGGACGGCGAGGCCCCGCTCAGGTCCGCGTCGTGCGTCACTCCGCGGGGCCCACCAGCAGCCTTCGAAACTGGCGACAATTTTACAGATCGCAGTCCCCCAAGGATGGCGAGGTCCCGCTCGGGTCCGCGCGGTGCCTCGCTCCGCAGGACCCACCAGCAGCCAACGAACGTGGCGACCGTTTCGCAGATCGCAGCCCCCCCCCCCCCCAGGGACGGCGAGGTCCCGTTCAGATCTGTGCGGTGCCCCACTCCGCAGGACCCACCAGCAGCTTTCGAACGTGGCGACAGTGTCGCAGATCGCAGCCCCCCAAAGACGTCGAGGTCCCGCTCAGGTCCGCGCGGCGCCTCACTCCGCAGGACCCACCAGCAGCCCTCGAAAGTGGCGACAGTTTCGCAGATCGCAGCCCCCCCAGGGACGGCGAGGTCCTGTCTGGATCCGCGGTGGGTACCCTCTCTGCTGGCCTCCCCAGCAGCCCTCGAACGTGGCGACAGTTTCGCAGATCGCAGCCCCCCAGGGGTGGCGAGGTCCTGTTTGGATCCGCGGTGAGTGCCCTCTCTGCTGGCCTCCCCAGCAGCCCATCGAACGTGACGACAGTTTCGCAGATCGCAGCCCCCCAGGGATGGCGAGGTCCTGTTTGGATCCGCGGTGGGTACCCTCTCTGCTGGCCTCCCCAGCAGCCCTCGAAACTTGCGACAGTTTCGCAGATCGCAGCCCCCCAGGGATGGCGAGGTCCTGTTTGGATCCGCAGTGAGTACCCTCTTTGCTGGCCTCCCCAGCAGCCCTCGAAAGTGGCGACGGTTTCACAGATCGCCGCCACCCAGAGATGGCAAGGTCCACTTTGGATCTGCTGGCCTCGCCAGCAGCCCTCGAAACTGGCGGCAGTTTCACAAATCGCAGCCACCCAGGGAGGGAGATGTCTCGCTCAAATCTGCGCGGTGCCTCAACCCACACGGCGATAGAGAGAGAAGATGGAGGCGGGATGCGGAGGGCGGGAGGAGCACGACGCGACCACGGTGCTCTATTCAAAACGAATACACAACCAAGGAGGGTTGGGAATAAGACGAAGAAAACGACGAATCATCATCAAACGACAAAGAAGAACATGTTTCGCTTTATATACTTGAGAAGGAACCTGGGAAACATAACCATACCTATGCGACCACCCTTCGGGTGATAAGGAGGTTCGGGGTGGGGGGGTGGGAACCACCGTCTCACTCGATCGGTCTCACCATCGATCTCACTATCGATCTCACTATCGGTCTCGGTCGATCGATCTCATTCGATCGATCTCACAATCGACCTCACTCGATCTGTGTCATTCGATCGATCTCACAATCGATCTGACTATTGATATCATAATCGATCTCACTATCGGTCTCACAATCGACCTCACAATCGATTTCACATTCGGTCCAACTATTGATCTCACAACCAACGTCATCAGCATCACCATCATCGTCACCAACGTCAACAACATCATTAGCATCATCAACATCATCGGGACACCATCATCATCATCACTTTATCACCATCATCATCATCACCATCATCAGCATCGGGGCACCATCATCGTCACCATCATCGTCATCATCATCATCATCATCATCATCATCATCATCGGGGCACCATCATCATCATCATCGGAACACCGCCACCATCATCATCGCATAATCATGATCATGAACAACAACAGCAACATCATCATCATCGGGACACCATCATCATTCGCAACATCATCATCAACATCATCATCATCATCATCATCGTAACACCATCATCATCGTCACCGTCAACATCATCATCATCATCACCATCACCATCATCAACGTCATCGGGACACCATCATCATCAACAGCAGCATCATCACCACCATTTGGCCACCACTATCAATCAAATTCATCATCGTCATCATCTCATCACCATCCTCATCATCAACATCGGAACACTATCATCATCACCGTCCTTATCATCATTATCGGGGCACCATCATCATCATCATCACCATCATCATCAAAATCATCATCATCATCACCAACCTGATCATCATCACCACCAGGACACCATCATCAACTTCATCATCATAATCAATCTATTTGATCATTAACATCATCAGGGTCATCAGCATCATCATCATCATCATCATCATCATCATCATCATCATCATCTTCGTCTCCGGGACACCATCATCATCAGCAACATCGTCATCATCAACATCATCATCGGGGCACCATCATCATCACCACCATCACCACCATCATCATCATCATCATCATCGACATCGTCAACGTCATCATCACCATCATCAGCATCGGGACACCATCATCATCACCACCATCACCATCATCACCATCAACAACATCACCAACATCATCATCATCATCATCATCATCATCATCATCATCATCACCATCATCATCGGGACACCGACGGGCCACCGGCGGGACACCGGCGGGACACCGCGCGCCACCGGCCCCCGAGCGGGACACTGGCGGGACACCGCGGGGCACTGGTTGCCGGAAGGGAGACTTTTGGTCCAGCCGCGCCTCAGCTACAGGAGACTTATTGTCCGCCCGCCCGCGCAGCTTCGCCTCGCCCGCACGCACGGCACGCACGAACACGAAACCGAAACCGATTTCCTGGTAGGGGGCTTCTTCGTTCCACTTCGATCTCACCCCCTCACCTCCGACCAGTAATGCGCAAAACGCTACTGATAACACTGCGGGCGCCGTGTGCGCGGGGCCGCCCCGCCGCGAGGCCCTCGAGAGTGCCGTCAGCCTCGCCGGGTCCCTCGCGGAGGCGTTGCACGGGCGCGGCGGGGCCGCCCCGCCCAGCGGCGCCGGGCCCGAGCCGCTCGGGGGGCTGCGCGCTCACAGCGCGGAGCTGGCCGGCGCCCCGGGCGCCGTTCCTTCGGGTGTTGCTAGAAGTGCCCTTGGCCCAAGGTGCCCTCAGGATTTCCGCGGAGGCCCCCACGGCCTCCGGGGCACCCTTCACGAGGCGCAGGGAGCCCCATGGGTCTCCCAAGCTGATCGAAAAGCTGGGGGCACCTTGGGCCCAGGGGCACCTTTGGCACCCCCCCACTCCTGCTCCGATCTCGGCCCTCTCTTCTCTCCCTTGTTTTATATATATATATATATATATATATATATATATATCTCGGCAAGGCAGAATAATGATAATAGTCGTACTCGTACGAATATCCATGAAACCAATCATAACATAAGTAATGCTAGCAATGCTAACTGTTAGCAGTAAGACTAATACTACTGCGAATAAGAAATAGAGTCATGATATTAAGAGCATTCGTAATACTCATACTAATAATGATAGCAGCAAGAAGAATAAGAAACGGTGTAGACATAAACGTTCGGAGCTCCGCGCGGATTTCTAGGGTCGGCGCTGGGGCCCCGTCCCTGGCGGCGCCTCCAGCGCCGCCCCAGGCGCGCCAGCGCCGATCCAAGAAAGCTGCGTGGAGGTCAGGAAGTTCATGCTCATGCCGGTTTTCGCTTTCCTACTCTTCTCGGAGGAGGGGAGAGGCAGCGATAGTGGTATCCTGGTCTCGTTTTCGCCTGGTTCGGCCTCCTGGGAGGCCCTCGTCGCCACCCTGGATTCGCTTCAAAATCCTGGTCAGAACGAGCCCTGGGAGAGCTCCAGGGAGCAGCGGCATCGGTACACATTTTGGTTTCCCCATCTGCGGGGGCGTCCTAAGAGGAGGGGTGGAGGCTTGAGGGCTGCGTGGGTATGGCATGGCCAGGGCCATGACATCTGCGATGCTTCGTGGCCCTGCGATGTGATGACAGCGACGTCAAAACGCACGATTTGTTAACACGTTTTCCGGCTCGCCACCTGAGAACTATTCAAATGGGCACGCAGACCGCTGTGGCTGCGCGCGGTTCTGGGGCGCGGTGAGAACCCCGAGCCAAATGCTGCTACAGGCATGTCGTGAAAAGAGTAAGTAAGCAAGGACCACCGTCCACACCCAACCAACCTCCAAATTAGTACAATGTCAGGTGACTTTGCGAGAATCTCTGGACCAACTGAGCAAAATGTGCCTGCCGCAGAACCCACGCAGACCTTATATCTAGAGGAGAACCTAGTTACTGGGATAGAAACTCATTAAACAACTTCGCTAGACTGGCCGACGCCCAAATTCTGTGGTATGGGACTCACACCCACATTTTGGAGGTGGGGGCAGGACAGGCGGTGGATCTAGCACGTTTAGGGGACCAGGCATGCAGGAGTTGGATGAAAGACTTCGGAAATCCATACTGGCTGAGACGCTCGATTAACACTCCTCTAGCCTCCAAGCTTAGCTGGAGGGTGAAGAATGACGGTGGAGACGCCCCAGCTCTGCAAACGGCCAGGAAGCGTGGATGCCTCGGGGGTGCTCCGACAAAATAGACAATGGGATGCCCAAGCTGGTCTTTTTCCAGATTGGTTTGTATGCTAGTTTTCCGGTGGAGGCAGAAGCAGGACCCTTGAAAATGTGTATGTCTAACGTGTCTATTCCATGCACGGCGGTTTTGTCTAGCTTGCACTTGCAGCTGCTACGATTGCTTGTCACAAGCCAATCATGCACATGCCAGAAAAGGCGCGAGGCTCCTCTCAGTGATGATCAGGATGTCATCCTTGAGCCGTACGTACAACAAGATCCCCCTGCTGGACATCCAGACCCGATCAGTCACTCTAGAATGCTCCAAGCTGTGGTAGAATCCCGCGTCCGACAAATCCCCAGAGAAGTTCATCCCCATCCCAGAACCAACCTTCACCTGCCAAATTCTGTCATCGTAGAATCTGGACTTGACGTAGTGGTTGCTCAAAAGGAACCCTGCCGCATCGCCCATGATCTCCTCAAGAGCCTTGCGCGCAACAGCGACAGCACCTCGCACGAGTTCGTTGATACCTCCAGACATGAAGAAATCTCTGACGTCGTATCGTATGAACAGTGCGTCACTGGGGAAATACATGTTATTCAATGTAGTGATGAGATCTTCTGTGCTTGAAAGAATGTGTGGTTTGACTGCAAGTGATTCACGAAGTCGGCGAGCCACCCACGCCCCAAGACCCTTAAACGAATGGTCCCTCCTGGTGTGCAGAATACGGAAAGATACGTCACCTGGACCTTTGTGGGATTTGATCGTCTCCCCGACTGCTGCCACAAACCTGGGAACTCCACCCGTCAAACTCTGCAGCATGGAGCGCGCGTCTGTGTCGGGCTCGAGCTCGTGAAATCTCTTGACTAAGCTAGAGTAATGATCACAAAGCTGCCACCAGCGGATGTTCAAAGGAGAAGTCTCCTCATACTGCGGGCCCGCGAGGGCTGAGGTATGGATCTGCTCCAACACGTTTTTTTGGACGAGCGCCGAACCCCCGTCCTTGTCCGTGAGCACAGGGGCCCAATCTAATTCAGCGAGTTGTTTGAAGGCCAGCGATATGACACCATACGTGTTTGAACTCTTTGTGCGGCCGTATTGCTTGTGGAGTTTGTGCTTGCACCCTCGGAGAACATGGCTGCACATAGCACGCAGCATAGCATGAAGCTCTATAGGGGCAGACTCGGAAAACGGCTTGGTGGCTCGGCATGTCGATGCAATGCAACGCGAAACTGATAAAGATTCGGTTCATTTCTGAAATGCCATTTCCACAATAGTTTGTGCCGTACTTGCTGTATGACGTTGTTGATCTCTGTGAGCTTTTGCAGAGATTTCTGCGTGAACCGATGTTTGCGATGGAAGCGCGAAAGCAAGAATATTACTGGCCATGGAAATTCACCTGGCTCTGGGTGGCGACAACTATGGTCCTGCTGATTGTACACGTACACGTGCTGCAACTGAGAACCCTCATTCAGAAGCCACAACAAATCATCAGTAGGCATGCCGTCCACGAGTTTGATGAACTCCAGGTTCATTTCCCGCTCCTCGCATTGCGTCCTCTGCCTTTGGGAGCGGCGCCACGCTGAGCGCCTCTCCCTCCTCCTTTAAGTTCTGGATGGCCCGTCTCCTTGCCCTTCCCCTTGTCCTTGCCTTTGCCCTTTCCCTTGGACCCCTGGATGTCGCCCTTCTGGCCCTTGGGTTTGCCCTTTGGGATTGACTGGGGATCTGTTACATACTGCTGCTGGTTGCCCCAGGGTCCGCCGTTCCCGTCCCCTGGGGCCTTGCCGTTTTTTGGTCTCGGAGCAGACGTCCGATCCTTCTTCCGCTGGGCCTGTTCCTTCTTGGTGAGCACGCGCTTAGAGGTAGATGCACTGCTGGAGAACGGCAGGCAATCTGCTGCCGGAGTGCCGCTCTGGTACGCCGCCCAATCAAGACCACCCTGGCCCTCTCTTCTCTTCCTTGCTCTCTTTTTTTTTTTTTTTTTTTTTTTTTTTTTTTTTTTTTTTTTTGTTTTCTCTTTCTCTCTCTCTCGGCAAGGCAGAATAATGATAATAGTCGTACTCGTACGAATATCCATGAAACCAATCATAACATAAGTAATGCTAGCAATGCTAACTGTTAGCAGTAAGACTAATACTACTGCGAATAAGAAATAGAGTCATGATATTAAGAGCATTCGTAATACTCATACTAATAATGATAGCAGCAAGAATAATAAGAAACGGTGTAGACATAAACGTTCGGAGCTCCGCGCGGATTTCTAGGGTCGGCGCTGGGGCCCCGTCCCTGGCGGCGCCTCCAGCGCCGCCCCAGGCGCGCCAGCGCCGATCCAAGAAAGCTGCGTGGAGGTCAGGAAGTTCATGCTCATGCCGGTTTTCGCTTTCCTACTCTTCTCGGAGGAGGGGAGAGGCAGCGATAGTGGTATCCTGGTCTCGTTTTCGCCTGGTTCGGCCTCCTGGGAGGCCCTCGTCGCCACCCTGGATTCGCTTCAAAATCCTGGTCAGAACGAGCCCTGGGAGAGCTCCAGGGAGCAGCGGCATCGGTACACATTTTGGTTTCCCCATCTGCGGGGGCGTCCTAAGAGGAGGGGTGGAGGCTTGAGGGCTGCGTGGGTATGGCATGGCCAGGGCCATGACATCTGCGATGCTTCGTGGCCCCTCTTCTGACGAGCGAACAGCACCCACCCACACTCATAGGGGGAGCGGAGGGGGCTATGGGTGCGTGTTGTCTGATCTTGTTTCCGGCTCGAAGGGGAGCCTCCCCCCGCGGTCCGACAACCCGCGCCCATACCCATAGCCAGTCCTCCTTCCGACCCCTCCATGGCAATTGCTCTGTTTGTGCTCGTGTGTGTGTTGTTCGTCTCTTTGCCCTCTGGCCACCTGGCGCGTCCTTGGGCGGTCACGCCGCCATAACCCTGTCACTGCCAGCTATCTGGCTGCGTTGCCACTTCTTTCCGGCCGCCCCGCGCTTCCTCCTCCCGTAGCGTTGTTGTTCCGCCCCGCAGACTGCGGGCGCCTGAGACGCTTCGCCCGCCGCCTCCTGCCCCGCCTCTCCCGGCCCCCTGGCCACCTGGATCGCCCTTGGGCGGTCACGCCGCAATACCCCTCCCAGTGCACCCGCCCGCCAGCTCCAGCTGCTGGCAGCCGCCCTCCCGCCACCCTTGCCACCGTGGTTTGTCGCGGCCGTCCACCGCGCTCTGGCCCTGCGCGCCTGGCTGTTGCTGTCCCCCCCCCAGCTGCTCATCGTCGAACTCTTCGACGTCTGAGCGTCCCTTTTTCCTCTCGGCCGCCCCCCCCTCTTTGCCCGCCGGTCAATTCGCTAGTTAGTGCCCCTTTCTAGCTTCTCGCTGGAGCGGAGTTCGCTGCCTCGCCGCTGACGGACACGTGTGTGTTGTTCGCTCGTCAGCTTCTTCTCTCCGTGCGTTCCTTGGCCTCCGTCGTCCTTCAGGAGGTGCCTCGGGCCACGGTGCGCGGAGCCCCTCTCACCTCTGGCCCCCGTGTTCGGCGTGGGGGGGTTCTCCGAAGGCTTTAGGCGACCCGTCCTCCTCCTCCTCCTCCTCCTCCTCCTCCTCCTCCTCCTCCTCCTCCTCCTCCTCCTCCTCCCTCCTCCACCACCTCCTCCTCCTCCTCCTCCTCGGGTCGCTTGCGGCCCTGGGGAAACCGTGCATTTCAGCGCGCCCAGTCTCTGACTTCGTGGGAGGGGGAGGGGTCTCTGAGAGTCGAAGGAGGCGAGGGCCGTAAAGTCCTGGAAAAACTTGTGGCACATCAATGTTCTTGGCTTCTGGAGGCGCTCTTGGGGGTCCTCGAGGGGGTGTCAGGAGCGAAAGAAGGACGTACACGTACATGAATCCACGTTGGTTTCGAGAGTGCGCATTGCGCGAACGTTCGTATCACGCGGCCGGTCTCGCGGATTGGGGGGCCGTGTTCACGTACGTGGTTGGGCGCGTACGTCTTTTGTGAGCTCCCTGGGGCCCTAGGGAGGGGGGCGATGGGGGCGGCGGGGCGGCTGCGTCGGTGTCGGGATGATCACCGCCATTACCCCCTGAGCGACACAGGACCATGGATTCGACTTCGCGGGCATTCGCGCGTAATGTCTCGCGTGAGCGCCCTCGCTTCCAGTGCACCGTGCCGCGCTGGCGGCCCGCACAAGCCACAGCGTCAGGTCGCAATGTCTTCGTGCGTAAGGCTTCTTTCTCTTCGTCGCCCACCTGGAGCGGGGGTCATCGAGGGCATCGGGGGCTCTGGCGGTGGTGAAGTGTGCCTTGCTTGGGGCGCTCTCCCTAGGCATCCCGCGCACGTAGGCTCGCGCCGCGTTGGCGCGGAAGCGGCCCCAGCGCGTGCGTTCAAGATCGAACGCCGCCAGTGCCATGGAACCGGCCGATGCCGAACGATCCGCGTTGTCGCAAGGCACGGTGGAGCGAGCCGCGCGAAGTCAAAACCAACGCTCACGTCATCTCAGATCTCGCACTCCCCAGGTGGTGGTGGTGGTGGTGGGCTTCTTTCGAGTTAGGGGTTCGGTTGGTGTTTTTGTGCGGGCGAGCGTCAGCGAGTATCCTTGGTTTAGGAGGGGCTGGTGCACGTTGACCTTTTTTGAATCAGCAGCTCCGCACCGCCCCCCCAGACCTTTTGGGGGATGCATCGGGGCACTGGCAGCTGTGCAGGATTCGACCCTCGCAGGGGCAGCATCTCCACCGCTGCTGGCGCTGAGGGCCTCCAGGAAGCTGGGTGTGCTGGCACCTGCTTCAGTAGAGCTCAAGTGGTCGCCAGGCGTGGAAATTCCGCTTGCAGCATTCGTGTCAAGCTTGAGTCTTAGGTTCACGGGATCGGTTCGTACGGTTTCGCTCATCAAAGAGGCGCACCGTGCTGGAGACTTTCCATGGACTTCGCTGTCGCCACCCGTCCGCCTGCGGACCGCTTCAGGCCGCCTGCGGGTGTGCACGGGTTTGCGCATGGAGCGGCGGACATGCATGCTGTATGGACGTACTGCGCGAAGAAGCACGCATGCCGAATGACTTATCGGTCAAAATTCAGGACGATGATTGAAATCACTTGTTGAGTGTTTGCGCTAGCGTTGGCCCCCACGGTGAGTTTGTGCACTGTGGATGTGCAATTTGTGCGGTGCAGCATATCTGTGTGGTAGAAGTTAGGTGGTGGAAGCTATGTGGTGCCTTTTACCTGGTGCAAGCCATGTTGTGGAAAGTAAATGCTGCAATCACCTGATATAATTCCATGAGTTGTCTACTCCATTGCTTGCGCAACCATGTCACCCTCCCACCACTCAACTTGTTTGGCGAAACCCATTCGGCCACGATTACGCTTACATGTTGGCGCTTACTACACAGCACATCTCTGCGGCCGCGCTGGCGTGCGAACGCTCGCGCGCGGGGCGACCAGCTGGTTTGGCACAGCTGATGCGGCCGCGATGCCGCTTACCGTTGGGAGCTTCCCAGCGCGTCTCATAGGCCGCGCTGACGCGCGGACACTTCCGTGCGGGTCGGTAACTCGGGCGGGCTCGGCAAGATGTTGATGTCGACAACGGCGGCAACGATGATATCAGTAGCCATGGTGGTGGCGACGTTGTCGATGATGGCGGCAAACCCAACGACGGCGCTGATGCTGGTGACGGCACTGGCGATGATGATATCCATGTATCGGTGATGAAGGTAATTGTGTTGATGACGGCGGCAATGGCGGCAACGATGGCGGTGGTGATGCTGTGGCGCTGGTGAGGATGGCGGGTCAAGAATTCTGGCAGACTCTTGTTGAACATCCGCGTTGGTTTTCGTATCTGTTTGAAGGGCTCTATCTTGAAATGCTTCAGATGGATGGTTCTGAATATATTTCGACACGCGCGCGTGGTGGCGCGCGCGTGTAGCCCATAATTTATGAATCGCTTCGCTCATTCTGCCGGCCCTGGAGCGCTATTTGGGGCCTCTTGGGGCCGTCTTGGGGGCTTCTTGGGGGCTTCTTAGGAGCGTCTTGGGGCTCCTTGGCGGCGTATTGGGCTCCCCTGGGGCCTCTTGGGGGGCTCTTGGGGGCCCCTTGGGGCGGGAGGGGGGGTAGTCGTTGGCAGCCCCCCCCCCTCGGAGGCCACGATCCTCGTGAGGGGTGGCGAAAAATAGCCTCCCCCCTGGGGATCGCCCGGGGGTCAGCCGAAGATCGGCCGGGGTACTTTTCGTCCGGGGCCCCCCAGGGGCCGCCCCGCGCGCGCGACCTAGAAATACTGTTAAGTAGTTACCGGAGATTTCAGTACGCCTCTGGCCCGTTGGGCCGGCGAATTTTCTGAGACGGATTCGCGCATTGGGCGCATGCTCGATCGTTACAGATGCACCGCCTGGTGAGAGGCTAATGCGGGTTTTGGTCGAGATTGTTCGAATCATTTGGTTTCATATGACTTCAGCAAGTGCGACCAGGTATACCGTCTGCTTTGTTGTCGATCAAGCACCAGCGGCTGCTTTATGGTGTGCATGCTGCACAGCTTGCATAAGTAATGTGTTTGGTATGGTTTTGGTATGTTGTTGCGCGGGAGTCTTGCACCATGATCTGTTCAGATAAAGAGTGTACGCTCATAGTGCCATTTGACAGTGATGAGGGGAGGGGGGTCAATAACCAGTTTGGCCTGGGATGATTTGATTTCGTATGCACGTTGAACGACGAGGCAGAGCCATCTGCAAATTTGTTAATCCCTGGGTGAGGCGGTAAGTCCTGGGCTCGCAAGAGAAGGATAATGTATGTGGTGCAACTTCTGTGTTGCAATGTGTCGTGCAAGTTATGGGGTGGAAACAGATATGTGGCACGGCCAGCCTACGAGGCGCCCACGAGTGGCCACCATGCGAAAACCCGGGAGCCAGGCCATCGCACGGGGTGTTCACGAGGCCCCTACGGGCGCCCGCGAGCGGCGACCAGACGAAAACCTGGAAACGTATGCCAGCGCACGTGGCGCCCACGAGACGCCCACGGGCGGCGACTGGGCAAAAACCTGGAAGCCCATTCCGATTAATCCACAAAGGAAGGTCAGAGCCCATGAGTGCAGACACGGCTTGGGGAACAAACAGCCAGTCCGCCCGCCTCGTTTCTTGGCCGCGTCCGAGGCCCTGTGCTGGGCCTCATGGCTGCGCTACTCGGCGGGGGAGCTGGGCGCCAGGTGCCGTCGGAGGCCGCGCGAGAGGAGGATGAACATTCTGACGGGTGGGGGGGTAGGAACTTTTTGTCAAGCATAGCGTGCACTAACGAGGGGGGGACGACGACGATGACAACGACGACGACCACCACCAGCACCACCACCACCACCAAGACCACGACCACGACCACGACCACGACCACGACCACGACCACGACCATGACCGCGACCACGAGCACGGCCACGACCACGACCACGACGACGTCCACGACGGCGGCGGCGGCGGTAGTGGCGACGACGACGACGACGACGGGGCAGACAGGGCGGAGGAGACATTCCACGGGCAAAATGGCCCGTGAGGATAGCAAAGTCCACCACGCCCAGCGCCACAGGGGGCTACCTGAGGTAACCACGGTGCTTCCGCACCGAGACTGGGCGCAGCCGCACTGCTCCCCTAGCCTTGCTACCTCGTGTCTCCCTGACGCCGTCCATTAGCGGCGGGGCCCGCGCCACGGCCAACCAGCACGCCAGCAAGAAGGCCAGCGCCAGGGAGAGCATCGCAGTCAGCACCGTAAGCCAGGGCGTCCCCCAAAGCGGCGGCTCGCTGCACAGCGCGAGGACGAGGCGCACGCCTCCTACGAGCCTGCCGCAGCGCGGCCCTGCCGCTGCCTTCGCCCGGAGCTCAGGGTCGGCGCACGGGAGGCGAACAGAGCGCCGAGCACGGCGAACGATTACATGTGCTCCGAGTCCCGAGGCCCGCAGCTCAGAAGCGCCCAGCAGGCGCCCATGGCCCAATTAGCAGGCGGGATCGGCCGCGCCACGCGATCCGAGCGTGACCCGAACTGACTGGGGCAGGAGGAGGAGGATGAGGAGGAGGAGGAGGTGGAGGAGGTGGAGGAGGAGGTGGAGGAGGAGGAGGAGGAGGAGGAGGAGGAGGAGGAGGAGGAGAAGGAGGAGGAGGAGGAGGAGGAGGAGGGGTGGCAGGCTGCGGCAGCAGCAGACTCTCCAGGAGAAGTTCGACGAGGAGGGTTACCTGCTTTTTGCATCAGAGCTCCAGCTCCAGCTGGCGGGTCTTGCTCCAACTCAAGCAGGTCCTGATGTCCTGGATAACCGAAGCGCCTGTGCTCGAGGGTTCCAGAGGAGGACGAGCCGACACAGCAATTTGGATCTCGCGCAAGACCGATCTGGAACTGTCTATTCTGCGGCCACTGGCCGCCTGAGACAAGACTGACTAGATACGCGCGCTCTTGCGCCTTGAGCTTAGACATTCCTGTTTTAATCGCGGCCGCAAAAGACCTTGCAACAACTCTGGTGCCTGGAGGTGATCTGCTACTCTCGTCCGGGGCCTGCTGTCAACGACGACCTCTAGAGCAGTCTTGACCGTGCGCTGACACATAACTTCAACCGAGAATTCGCCCATGCTAGCTAGCTAGGCTGCAGCCACGTCGGCCCATTCATTTTGATGCCTAGTCGAACTGCAGTGGCCGCCGCCGCAGTGAAGGGTTCATGAATAGCCTGCTAAGGCGAGCCGTGCCCGCGGAGAAGTTGCCACGTTCCAGGAAGCTCTTACATCACCACCGCCCCAGTATCTCAAGCATCCTACAGAGCCGGAGAGATAGCGAGGAGGGGAGAAACATTGAGGTTGTACGTTGAGTCGATGCGTGGCACTCCTGGCAACTGCAGCATGCAAATTAATTATAGACCTGTCTGCCAACTTCGGCGGCTGAACACTAGCTTGCTGGAAACGAGCTTCCCTGAGCTCACGCCCTTTGCTGCCCATCATCCCCGACACGTATGACGTGGATGTCTGGATCGCAGCGCGAATCATATGATGTACACGATGCTGGCAACGACCGCGAGCAGCGGCCGTGCACTCATGCTCGTTGCGACACCTTATCACACCACCTGCCGAATAATCAATACTTAAGTTCCGCTAAGAGAAACATGCAGTACCTTTTTAGACTTCAAACCTGACACTAGCTGCTGACGAAGCTGAGGGCACGAAACGAGGACACGCGATTTAGGCTTGCTGACGGGAATGCGAATCTCGTCAAACTTATTGTGAATCATGAGGGCATGACTGTTTCGCCGATGGCAGTTTGCTTAACGGAGAACCTTCCCACCGCTCGGTCGCTTGGCTGGGCCATTGTGTCTCTGCATGACGACATGCCTCTGCCTGTCGGGCGTGTGCAGCGCGCGGTGGTAGCAGGGGGCCTCCCAGCAGGACATTCTAACATCGATGCGTGTGAGCTCTGGGTCTTTCAAAGGGACCTTCGACAGGCCCTTTCCCACTGCTGGTCCAACTTTGTGTGTTCAGGGCGTCTGGGAGCGGCGTAAAGATTTTTGTTGCTCGGCCAAAGCTGTGTGGGCAGATCTCTGGAAGCTTGTTTGGCATGCCATTGGCGATAGAGGTAGTCCTGGACACTTGCGGCTTTCGAAGGTCAAGGCGCACACGACGCGCTCTCATCTACTAGCTGGCTGCATCGCGGCCCGTGCTCAGCTCGGTAATCAGTTTGCCGACCGATATGCCACGCAAGCCGCCGAGTAGACCCGTGTTTCAGCCGCGTGCCGTCAGCGTTTTAAGCACCAGTTCAAACCTGTATATTGCCCCACGCGCTGTGTCGGCTTTTGTGGGCCTCCCATGGCCGACCTTGACTGCGAGCATGTGCCCGGCATCCAAAAGTATGAAGAAGCCGCGTTCAGGGGGCCTTGTGCTGCAGGTAATTCTCCCCCCTCCTCTAATGGTCGCCGAGATCGAAAGCAGAGCCGATGCTGCGATTGCTGTTGTAAGGAGAGAGGGTCATGCCACCCGCAGGGCCTTCCCTTTTACGTGCGCTGGGGGGGGGGGAGGGGGTGGTGTGTGCTCACTGGCGCTGGCGGAGCTGTTATCTTCAAGCTGTTTAGGGAGGCCTGTCCGCCAGTTGCGTCTGAAAGGGGCGAAGGAGTATCGCGGGGCCTTGCCGAGGTGAGTTACAATCAGGGCGGGGAGTGGATTGCTCTCATCGAGGCTTGGCGCCCTGGCGGTCAAGGCATGGACCTTGGCCGCCCCCTGGGATAGCACCCTGTCGCGGGCCCTTCGAATGGATGTCGCCCCCAGTCGAGGGTGACAAAAAGGTCGTCCTGATGGGTAATCTCCATTGTTTTTTGCCTGCTTTGGGGCTCGTGGGGATCCCATGAGCGCCTAGTGCGTGCGCAGGAGGGGGAGGATGAGGCGGAGGAGGAGGAGGAGGAGGAGAAGGAGGAGGAGGAGGAGCATCAAATGCATGCGAGACGCAGCCATCGAGCTCGCAAACCGACCACCACCTCCACCACCGCAAGGCATGACAACAGGAGCGCGGATCAACGGCCGCATGCACGACATCATCGAGCGCCTCACCGTCATGATCAGCAACGACCCATGCGAGCGCGAGCGCGTGATGCCCAAGATACAAACTCACGAGGCCACCCTCCACCACTACGACGAGATGCTCGAACTGACCGACCCAGCAGAGGCCGACAGAGACGCGAAAGTCGACGACCTCCGCATTGAGTACGACCAGGTCATGGCCTACGTGGACCAGCGACAACAGGACTTGGCAAACTACGCAAATCACTACTTAGCTAACGTGCTGACCTACCCCAAGAGCCGCAGGCACGACGACATGCATGACCAAGAAGTGGTGCTACAGCTTCAGAGAGACCTCACGGACATCAAGGTATCAATACGACACAACCCCACGTGTACGCCGACACCATCCTTCGTCACCGACCTACGGATGGAGATCGCAATCGAGGCAATGATCAAGATGGCCGAGCGCATCACCAACCAGACCCCCTCGCCAGAGAACGAGGCGCAGGATCACCAGAACCAGCAGCCGACACCAGACCCACCGACTGTAGGCGACCTACTGCCGCCTACCGATCTTGACATCGGGACCGCGCTACAAAAAATTGGAAACCTGGACCAACAGTTATCGACTTCAGGATTGGGTGCGTATGAGCAGACCAACAAGGCCAGCTTGTTGCAGGCCACAGCGACCACGGACCCGACGGGCAAAACGGAAGCTAGCAGCACCGCCGACCGCCAAGTACCATGTCAGATGCAGCAGCACGCCATCGGCGACAGCAGCACGGCTGCAACGATCCGCAACATGATCACGGACCAGAACACCGAAAGGGACGCTTCCCACACCGGCGAAAGCAAGCCAGCAACGATACTGCCCTCAGACGGACACCGTAGAATCATCCACCAGGGCGACCAGCAGCAGACGGACCAGGAGTCCCTCCCATTCGACGGGCTCGACCCGTGGAAACCATGGCCGACCTACGCAGACGCCGTCAAAGCTGACCGGCCAAACCGGCACGACCAATCTACGGCGAATCAGGGGACTCCCCGCTGATCACCTACAACACGAGGCAATCCACGCGATCGGGCCAGCCTAATGCCGGCCGATCAGTGCGCTTCCCCCTACGCAATGCACGTGCGTCCTGCTGACAGAACCACCAGCTGCTACACGCCCACTCCCACCTCTTCACTATCCTTGAACCGACATGTACGCACTCACCGTAAAGACGGAAGCAGCACAGCTGGTGGTATGGGAGTCTACCTTTCTTGGCATATTCACAGGGTGACACGGCAAGTATTTTACAGCATGAGCATCAGAGGCGCCTGCACCATACCTTGGACCTCAGTGGCGGTTGTGATCACTATTGTTTGTTCGTGCGTGAGCCACAGGTCCTCGCCGACCTCCAACCCTCCCCTACCTCCTGGCTCTTCTGCTCGCAGCCCCATGGCCCCCCACCGTTCCCACCTAACCTTCCCTTCACTCCCCCCTTGCGGTGGGGTGCGGGTCGCTTTAGGAAGGCGGGGGGGGCTCGGACTCGCCGCGGGTCGTTCTGGCAAGTGCCAGGGCAGCCGCGGCCGCGATTAACCGCGCGGTGGCGGCCATCAGGGCACGTCTACCTCAGCAGTTGCGTTTTACGGAACCTCAGGAGCAGCAGCTGCGGCCATCAGGGCACCTCCACCTACTTCTGCAGCTGCGGCCATCAGGGCACCTCCACCCCACCTCCTCCTTCGCCATCCGGGTACCTCCACGGTCTGCTCACAGCACCTGCGGTCGCCAGCCGCTTGCTGATTACATCAGACCACCCACCCGTGCCGCCACCACAGATGGCAGAAAGCACCCCCGCGCACGGTGGAACCCTTCCAAGCAGCCACTACTCCCATGATCTGGGTACCCTATTCCTGCCTCGGTTGGGGAGGGTACCAGTCATGGGGATGGTGGCTGCTTAGGGGGGCTTCCTATGTGCAGGGGGCGAGGCCTTTCTGGCATCTACCTTGGCGAAAGTGGCCGGCGTTGCCTCGCGCCGCCACTGGGGGAGGGCCCAAAGCCCCCTCGCGCTCGGATCCAGTCGTCGACTTCAGGGGCGCCTGCGGGGGTTTCCTCTTGGGCAGAGGGAGAGGCCCCTGGGCCCTTCCCCGCTGCGAGCGGTGCCCCGCAGAGGGCCCTGCGTTCCTACTGCTTCCACTTTTTAACAGCTCGCCTCGGCACCTCCACTGGTCTCCCCCGTTCTTTTGCACCACTTACCTGTTTGCTATTTGCTTTTTCATATTTCCTTCTGTGGCTCTCGCTCTCCCGCCGAGTCGTTTCTCCGTCGTCGCCGCCTCCTCGCTGCCGGGACAGCCAGTCACACCCGCTTGCCCTCTGCAACTTAGGGCGCTCCTGCGGGGGGGGGGCCTTGGGCGCCTTCTAGGGCGATGGCCTACTGAGGCCGCGCGACCCGAAAGAGGGGGGACCCACGCAAGGCCCCCATCGGGGCCCCAACCGCGCCACAAACCGCCCGCGCTGCTACTTTGCCACGTCCTTTCTTTCTTCCTGCGGTCATGGGGTGACGTGGTGATGATCTGTTCCCACCTTTTTCCCCCCTCCTGTCCTGCGGGGCCTCAGCCCCGAGTTCTGTGTTTTTGGTCTTCCCGGGGGGGCCCGACCGGGCCTCCTTGGGGGAAGCGGCAGCAGTCGGATAATTGAATTGCCGTCGTTGCCTCGTAGCCTCGTTGCTTCATTGCTTCATTGCTTCAGGAGGACGAGGAAGAAGAGGAGGAGGACGAACAAACATAACAATACGAATAATAGGAAACAGAGGAAGACAAGAGTAATAATGACACCGACAATAACAACAATACTTATACTAGTAATGCTACTGCGAAGGGGAGTAATAGTAATCAGCTTAATCATAACAAGAATGCGAGGAGCAATACTGCTGATACGGATCACAACAATGCTATCACGAATGATCATACCATTTAGAAGAGTAGGACAACGAATAATGTTATTCATCATAATAATAAGAAGAGCAGCCATACAACACATACTAGCACTAATAAGGATAGGACGCGTGCGAACAACAATAAAACATACTACTGACCATATTCCCTACCTAGGCTCTGCCTAGAAGGGTTCTTACTCTCTTAGCTTAAAGGGGCCGGGCAGTGCAAAGCGCCCCGGGCGGTTCCCCCAGTCCCCTGGGAGCGGTTCCCCCAGTCCCCTGGGAGCTTTAGCTTTAGCTTTAGCTTAGCTTTAGCTTAGCTTTAGCTTAGCTTTACCTTAGGTTTAGCTTAGGTTTAGCTTAGCTTTAGCTTAAATTTAGCTTAGCTTTAGCTAAGCTTTAGCTTAGCTTTAGCTTAGCTTTAGCTTAGCTTTAGCTTAGCTTTACTTAGCTTTAGCTCAGCTTTAGCTCAGCTTTAGCTGAACTTTATTTAGCTTTAGCTCAATTATCCCAGTGCGACCCTACCTAGGAGTTGGAACCCCTAGGAAAGCAGCATTAGTAGTATCAGTAACGCTAAGCTAAAGTTAAGCTAAAGCTAAGCTAAAGCTAAGCTAAAGCTAAGCTAAAGCTAAGCTAAAGCTAAGCCACAGCTAAGCTAAAGCTAAGCTAAAACTAAGCTAAAGCTAAGCTAAAACTAAGCTAAAGTTAAGCTAAAGCTAAGCTAACGCTAAGCTAAAGCTAAGCTAAGCTAAGCTAAGCTAAGCTAAAGCTAAGCTAAAGCTGAGCTAAGCTAAAGCTAAGCTAAAGCTAAGCTAGCTAAGCTAAAGCTAAGCTAAAGCTAAGCTAAAGCTAAGCTACAGCTAAGCTCAAGCTAAGCTCTAAGCTAAGCTAAAGCTAAGCTAAAGCTAAGCTAAACGCTAAGCGAAAAGCTAAGCGAAACGCTAAGCTAAAGCTAAGCTACAGCTAAGCTAAAGCTAAGCTAAAGCTAAGCTAAAGCTAAAGCTAAAGCTAAAGCTCCCAGGGGACTGGGGGGAACCGCTCCCAGGGGACTGGGGGAACCGCCCGGGGCGCTTTACACTGCCCGGCCCCTTTAAGCTAAGAGAGTAAGAACCCTTCTAGGCAGAGCCTAGGTAGGGAACTGTATCTTAGCTTTAGCTTAGCTTTAGCTTAGCTTTAGCTTTAGCTTAGCTTTAGCTTAGCTTTAGCTTAGCTTTAGCTTAGCTTTAGCTCAGCTCTAGCTTAGCTCCAGCTTAGCTTTAGCTTAGCTTTAGCTTAGCTTGAGCTTAGCTTTAGCTTAGCTTTAGCTTAGGTCTAGCTTAGCTTTAGCTTTGCTTTAGCTAAGCTTCAGCTAAGCTTTAGCTAAGCTTTAGCTTAGCTTTAGCTTAGCTTTAGCTTAGCTTTAGCTTAGCTTTACTCTTACTACTAATGCTGCTTTCCTAGGGGCTCCAACTCCTAGGTAGGGTCGCACTGGGATAATGAGTCTTTGATCAATAATAAGAATGCGAGGAACAGTAATCCATAAGCATACGAATGTTCAGAACAAGAATAATACTAAGAACACGCGTAATACGACTAATGAAAACAAGCATAGTAATATACGTATCAACCGTAATACTACTACTAAGGAGTGCGCATGATAAACCATGATACTAATAATAGTACTGCGAATAGTATGAAGAATCGCACTATTTATTATAAGCACAATATATACTAAGACTGATACTGGTAATACTAACAAACATACGAAACCGAAACTAATAGTAATACCAAGATTATTCAGAACAATATAATTTTAGGAAACATAGCAATAAGAGCAGGAGGAAGAGGAGGAGGAGGAAGAGGAGGAGGAGGAGGAAGAGGAAGTGGAGGAGGAGGCCAACATTCACGCGGGCTGCACCAGCGATCCCTTTCATCGGCGTGGGGAATGAGGAGGAACTGAGGATGATGATGAATAGGTTGGAATGGGGAGAAGAGATGGGGAGGAACATGTGTTAGAAGGCTTACGCCATTCCGCTGGCCCCCAGAAGAGGGGGTTGTGCGCCCCTACTGCCCAGACGCGCGCCGTTTACTGCGCGCTGCCTTCCCCCCTCCTCCTTTTCACTCCTGCGCTGCTCCTCTTCCTCCTCTTCCTCCTCCTCGTCCTCCTCCTCGTCGTCGTCGTCCTCCTCCTCCTTCGTTCCTTCTTTCCCACAGCGTGGATAACAGCGAAGTCCGTCGAATTCCCTCCCCGCCCCCTCCCCTCCCAAAGCCCCTCGCTGCCGGCGTGGGCCGCAACCGCTCCGCCCCCGCCGCAAAACCAGGCCGCCCTGATGCACGTGGGCGCGCGG